AGTAGTCCACTCAATTCAAAGAAAGTTGCGGAAGGAATTGTAAGTATTAACTTTATCCTTTCCTCGTAAGTTCATTATTTTATGTCACCTTGTTATTCATAATTTTCCAGTGTAGTTCACGAAGTTGGCTCAAAATTTTTACTCTGCTATGTAACCATTGAAGCATGTTTCGCCTTTGCGTCATTTGTCACGGAAATCAAACTGTGACATGATACAAACGAATAGAAATGCGATCTGCAGCGAAATGATTCTAAATCTCTTCTTTTTAAAACTAATACATTTATCAGATATAATAATAAAGACCAAAATTTTAATTTTACAAACATTTCTCGTCAGAAACGTCTTCATTTTTCGGTGCAAATATTTCGGAAGATGCAAATTGGCCGACTTAAAAAGATTGAACGTTACATAAATATTAATATAAACAGAAGAAACACGTTTGTAAAATTAACAATTTTCGTTTTGTATCTGAAACTGTGACTTTCCTGCTGTCCAGACCTTTTGGTAATGTATATTTATCAAATTGATGGTATGAGGGCATTTTCTAAAATCGAAATAATCATTGCATTTATGTAACGAGTATTTCGTAGTCAGCGTAGTTTGGTTCCAGAATTATCTGGTTCAACAACCTATGACGTCATGCTCTTGAGCATTAGGTTTACATGATTACTAATGAAATATAAAACCCGTCCCTGAATTAAATTGACCGTAACTTGACTATTAGAAGTGAAGTAATGCGAGAATTATGCAAGGTACGTAGTGCGCGTTTTCACGATTCACAGCAAATGGAGCAAACGTGACCCTAGCTTTCTGCGTTTCCTTCTCGGCTTGAAATTCCGCTCTTAAGAGCTGAAAAGGAAATATGAACTCTTCCAGACGAGATCTTATTTAAATCTGATTTAAATAACGATTCAAGACTATTTTGATTTCTTTGTCTTAGTTTTGTATCTACCATGCCGTGCTACTTTTAGCACTGAAAACACGACGTCGTCTTTATATAGTTACCGCGTGACTTTCTATATGTTCATTGGCCTGTTGCCACTTTTGATCACTTTTGCGTTTTTAAGTTGAGTCAATTAAGAGCCACTCGAGATAAGACAGTCTAGCAGGGAAACAAAATGAAAGAAAATATTGAAGCTGCATCACGAGGCACATGACAACTGAACAGAAATTGTCTGTGTTGTAAAAAATCCAATGTTAATAAATAAATAGAAATCTTGGCGGAAGTTACAGAAACGCTACGTCACCAGAAAGAAACACTAATTAATTGAACTAGTATCATTATTTGGATTTTTCGGTAACATGACATAATCTTAGTTTTGTTTGTCCAGCAAACACATACTTGTGCGAACAGATGGTTGTATTTTATAAACTTCAAGATCCGGCAGTATTTTGACTATAATTTATGTTGCATATTGATGACATCATATTTATGACGTAACTCATGGTAACGCCTTTTTGGAGGTACAGACTCATTGCCTCCGCAAATTTATAGATTCTTTCATTATAATTTAAAAGCAATAATTATACTTCTATAAACAAACATTCATGATTTATTACCTTTTGCACTGTAGGATTATTTAACAAGATTTGGCTATTTGGTGACTGATGATCCCAGAACGGGGAAACTTAGAAGCCAACAAGATTTAGAAAAATCCATCAAAATGTTACAGCGTTATGGTGGTTTACCGGAAACAGGCAACTTAGACGCGGCTACGATTAAGCTCATGGGAGAATCCCGTTGTGGTGTGTCGGACTTTGGTAAGACGGATAACACTCGAAGAAAGAAGAGATACACGTTGCAAGGGTCACGATGGAAGAAACACGTAAGAAAATGAAAATCTTGCGTTACTCATCTTCAGGTTTTTTCCTATGGCGTTTTATTAAAAATGATTCCTCGGACTTGATGATGTTAAATTTTAGAATTCAGATGCATCGGAAAGCTCTTTCTATATTCAAGGGCACTTGAACTCAAAGTTCATGTGGGGATCCATGTCAGAAGTATTTTTGCGGCAAAATTTCATTTCTGAAATACATGTACTCACAATACTGTATTTAAACTCGGCAAGAAATCCCGTGACACATTTTCCTCACCAAAAAATAGGAACTAGCTATGTTGTCTGTTTGGGATCTTCGGTTCATTGATTCATGTATTTTTGCATAAAAATTGATCAAAGTGCGCGGCAAAATATATTCAGAATTCATGGTTATGGTCCACTGGTTATAAAATTAATATTGTTTTACTCTTTTTGACAGGATCTGACATACAAAATCAAATCTTTCACATCAGACATCAGGGACACTGAGAAACAACGGCAAACCTTCAGAAAGGCGTTCAAGTTATGGAGTGATGCAACCAATCTGCGAATTAACGAAAACAGATACGCTGATGATAAAGACGTTGATATTCACATCAGTTTTGAGACCGGTTACCATAGTGATGCTTACCCGTTTGACGGAGCAGGCGGAACTTTGGCGCATGCGTTCTACCCTCATAACAACTTAGGTAAGTGAACAAACAAACAAAATACAAACTTGGTATTTCCGGTTTAGCGTGAGATAGTGTTATCTATCTGAATACCCTAGCCTTGGCTCGCAGATTTGTACATACAGGGAAAGTTTATATTTTATTAACAGAAAATTGTTTACAAGTTCTATTGAGTTTGAGCATTCCAAAAACCCCTCAAGATCGGAAATAAAAAGGTCAACATCCCACGTGGAAGAAGGCGTATCATGCCACATGTCAGTTCACGCTTGTTTTTTAAAGCTCTTCGGAGTTGAACTCGGATCTACTGCATTCATTTAAAACGTTTTATCGCAGACTACTCTCCGGCCGGCATTTCAAGTCAGTGGAAAAGTTCGTCATTGTTAGCAGGAACTAGGAACTCTCTTTGGCAGCTTTTAAATCATTTTATTCTGTGATTTAGGTATACTTTTTGTACTTTTAATTGATTTTATCTCTTATCTCTTGTATTTTTATTCGTTATATTATCTCATAGTTATGCCATAGTTTTAACATCCGTATTGTACATAATTTTTAGAGGGGCACTGGTTTGTTAGTATTTTTATACTATTTTAGTGCTACCCTCTTTAAACAAAGTCTTTACTTACTTACTTACTTACTTACTTACTGGCAGATCGTAGTATTTATTTTTTTTTTTACTTTCTTTCTTACTTACTGGCAGATCGTAGAAGTTAAACTTTTTATCACCACCTATCTTATTATCAATAGCCAAGAGCAACGGAAAGTTTAATAACGATCTCTTTTTTTTTGCAGGCTTATCGGGTGACGCGCATTTTGACGATGGTGAGCGATTCACCATAGGAGCAAAGGACGGCATCAACTTGGACTGGGTGGCGGTTCACGAGTTTGGACACAGTCTGGGCCTGGAACATTCCAACGTGCGGGAATCCATCATGTACCCTTGGTACAAAGGTTACAAGGAGAACATCAAGCTTACCTATGACGACATACAGGGAATTCAGGCGCTTTATGGTGAGTTAAGTCTGCATACGGGCAAAGTGGTCCATCAGGCCGGAGCTTATCCCGGTTTCTTTAGCATGAAGCGACAACATGTAGGAGTATTTCTATTCCCCCATGGATGGGATGCTAGTCCATCGCAGGGTTAGCCCCCCCAGCATTAAATTCGCCGGTACCCATTTATACACCTGGGTGGATGTACAAATCAGTATGTACATAAAGGAAAGAAAATCTCTAAAGAGAATTTATAGCTGGAGTGTAGAGAAGAAAGGACTAACCATGGCACGGACAATTTTTCTGATTTTCCAAATCAATTTATTTCAGGGAGACCAGCACGGCCGACAAATCCTGCAGCGGCGACGCCGAAACCAGCAACTACCAAGCCTCCCGTCCCTGAGGAAAATGATGTCTGTTCTATGAGCTCGTACGACACGTTCTTTCTTGCCCCTGACAAGAAAACGTACGCGCTGAAGGGTACGCAGTACTGGATCATCTCATCTGGGAGCGGTGCAGGCCTGGAGAGTGGGCCTCATAGGGTGACTGATTTGTGGAAGGAACTCCCGAGCAAGATTGACGCTGCTTACAGGAAAAGCGCTAACAGGCTGGTGTTCTTCAGCGGAGCTAAGTAAGTGCCTGTTCTTGAATCCAGTTTTGTTTGATTCAAGTTTGACTGAGTTGTTTCATAGCACTTGGAAGTAGTCTTGAAACTAAGATGACAAAGTTAGTTTTCCGACACCTCTTTCGAAGAGCCTGAAACGTCATTCAGTGTCAACTTTTGCGTCATTTTCCACGAGACATACTTTTAAAAAGACTTTGGTTGTTTTGTTGGAAAAATAGAATATGAGAATTTGAAAGAACGACAATATATTTTGATAGTAGAACACGGAACCACAAAACGTCTGTAAAGAATGCGTTCTTCTACCCAAGAACTATACTGTACAAATAGATATACGAAATGCAAGGTAGGCCGAATTCAACATTATTCGGGGTATTTGTAATGTTCCCGGGTGGACCAAGCTTCACTGTTCCTTTTCCCATTACTGGGACTGAGGAGGTAATTCTTAGCTGGTTGAACCAGCTCAGGACGAACAGTTCCGATTGAAATCGCTTGCTTTATTACTTGTTAGATAATGTTCTAGGAGTTAGCATCATGTTTTTAATGTCGGCGGCTATGATAGTTACTCTAAATTTGGTTTTCTCTAAAGGGTCTGGCAATATTATTACAGAAGCGAGCGAGATACCTATTACATCGAGTACAACGGACCGCGCGATTTCAGGCAATATGGGTTGCCAATGGACTTGAAAGATATGGACGCTGCCTTTGTTTGGGGAAGAAACAGCAGAACGTACTTCTTCAAAGGCGACAAGTATTGGCGCTACAACGGACGCAAGATTGATTACGGTTACCCCAAAAGCACCAGTGTTTGGAAAGGACTACCTGCCCATATTGATGGAGCCATGAAGTGGAGGAATGGAAAGAGCTACTTCTTCGCTGGAAGTACATACTACAGATTTGATGATTGGGAGCTTCAAATCGAGGCTGATTATCCCAAGAGTATAGCTTTGAAGTGGATGCGTTGTACGAAGGATAATCTGGGAGTGATCACAACCACTGCGACACCAGGCGTAACGCAAAACACGACCCAAGGGTATCATGGATGCGATCATGTCCACGAACAATCGTTTGGATCAGCAGTCTACCCCAGTCTTGTCACGCTCTGTTCTTTACTAATAGTTATTTTAACACTGAACTTTTAAGACGTCGTTTTAAGTATTTATTTATCATTAGACGTTAAAACAGAGACACAAGTAATTAACGTGTATGAAAGATATAAACGGTTTCTTCTTTTAGTAAAGGATGCATGTAGTTTCATCCTTAACGGTTACGTGGGTCGTCACGCAATCTTCATTTCCTTGAGGTGGGTTGCATGACAAAACCACGTAACGGCTGCTGCAGCGACTTAGAAAATAATATTTTAAAGTACTGGAAAGTGAAGAAAATTTTTAGAACACCGTTTTGTTTTCCGCTGGAAACTTTTAAAATTCTAGTAACGCTTGCTAGAAAAGTGGTGATCATGGAGCAATATTCATTTGCCTCCAAAACGAGATGAAAAATGTTTTTTTTTCCATTGTTAATATTTTAAATCGACAAACCAGGTGTATATAGTTGAGTCATTTTAGAAATACCCGATATGAGTTACCTATTGAAATATAAATTATGAACAAAAATTGAATTATTATAGACTATTCAACAGCTAGTTGTCCAAGTGACGGGAAATAATCACATAAAATGGACCCTTTTACCGATGGCATTCTTTTCCGATTTTTTCATTCACACCAAAAAATTATCCTCAACGCTCGATTAATCGAGCTTACTTTAATGAATATGCGAGACGTTTCATAAGAATCTTTTGCAAACTCATGAAAATATGGGTCCCTAAACTTGACCATTTTTACAAAGAAATATAAACCAGGGGAGAACACTTGCCCCCTCGTATACATTTCTTTGTAAAAATGATGGAGGTGGTGTTTTGTTCATATGAAAAATTACATGAAAAATTGTTGACATTGCGTGACATTGGTAAAAAGGTTCATTGCTCTATATCTACAGTCGTTGATATTCAAATTTCGTTATGAGAATTGTATTTTACAATAAACATACCGACCTGCTTTTATTTATTGTTTGCATTTCAGGTAAATTTGAATAAATTATTCTACACAATATTGAATGTTTGGTTTCTGTTAAGCTGTGTCAGTCCATAAGCCTTAGCATGAACCTCGTACTGGAAACACACTGCGCATGACGTGTATGGTAGTTTATTTCTGGGCCTCCTTGGCTAACACCAATTTTACAAGCAATTCAATTTGCCATTAACCATTATCACGCGTCTTATTAAACCAATATCATGCATCTTAATTAGCTTTCCTTCTTTCCACAACACAACCCACGCCACTCTCTCCAACACACACTCCANTGACAAATATATCTGATCGTGTAGATGGCACGGCAAATATTTGTCAGCTGTTCAAAGTTTAGTGCGCCGGTAATGACTTCGGACAGCAGAGATACACAGAGAAAAAGGCGAGGCTACGTACCCCCCCCCCCCACCCCCCCAAAAAAAGAGATGAGGGAGCCTGACACTGGTAAGTCCTCAGGCCAATCCAAAATCTCCACAAGTAATGTCATGGAAACCAATGCAAATTTGTAAATAACTAGTTGACTATTTACTCAGCAAAACACTTTGAAATATATATATTTTTACTAATTCCTTCACTTAATGGACAAAAAATTATCTAGTACGTCTACACTTTGTCAGTTCACACTTGCTACACTTTGTTTCAGTGGCAACCATTTTACAGAAGTATAGCTGTAGGTGGCCAAAAGATGATTTCTGAAAAAATGTGAGTTTGTTACCTTGTGACCCCAGGTCTAAACAGTATGGATTATAAACAGCATGGTTTATACAGAAAACTCAGAGGGATAGCACATAGTACAGTTCGGAACATGCTTGGTCAATAAGAGATTGATTTTTAAGTACTTTAATAACTCATGATTTTAAAAAGACCATGCAGTAGAAACTCTACTATGCACGACACTTGAGAATACTTCAATTTGTTATTCAACTTGCAGTGGGGCACTCTGACTGACTGATTTAGTTATTGGTCATATCAAGAGTGTTAAGTAGTTGTGTCAGTAATAAAAGCACTTAATATTAGTATGGTACTCAGGGCTAGAAAAAAACTTGAATTCTAGATCGCCCTCTGTACAGACAGCTCTCAAATTTTGCTTGCCCTGCAAGTCTTAGTTACCTTCTCTTATCTGGTTGGCAGATGACTTGCCTGGAACCTTGCCTGTTGGACAAGTGAGAATGAAAAGATACTTGCCCAGCAGGAAAATCTACTTGTTTGTGACAATGAGACGGCACTTTTTTCAAGCCCTGGTACTGTACTTCACTCTGGGTACATTGTATACTGTAATGCCTGGTTTGAAACAATAACAACTTTCACACTTAACTTGACTTTCACATTTTTTCTGGTTTTAGATTGGAAACTTATATGTTGAGAAAAAAAACTGACAACACTTTAAAGTGCAACAGTTCCAAACTCATAAAAATTTAATTCCCTGAATAAAGCTGTAAGATTAGATTATAGCTAGGTAGGTACATTATGCTTAAATGCTGTTCACGTTCTTGATTTACACCCAGTTTGCTGTCAATATTTACAATGCCTAATGAGTGAACATTGTTAAAAGTACTTCTGAATTTAGTAAAGTTCAAAATTTTGGTAGGAAAAGTATGTTATGCACAGCACATAAGAGTACAACAAAGCTACCAATTGACTAGAAAAGCCAACAGATCGTTTGAATTTCCACCAGCACTAACATCAACATCCTGCAAGAAAACAATGACACAAAATGTGGAAATTATGCAAAATATATTCGACAAAATTATGTTTGTTAATCAGCTTTACCCACCGAAGTGCAAAATAATGCAACAAAGTCTAGATACATCCAACAATAAATTATGTTCATTTTTCCCCTCAGGATTGACATACTGTAAGCTGTCTACAATGTACATCAGAAAAGGGGGAATACATGACTGTATATCTAGATTTCCTTTTGGAAGGATTTCAAGCTTGTTTTTCACATGCCAGGAAAATCCCAGACACTAACAATTTCAGACAATTTTGTTGGGGGAGGGAGGAAGGAGCTGTCCTGCTCTGTCCTATATTTCCCACAAAAACTCTAGGTTACGAGACAGTGCAGTGTTGCTGACATTTGTAATCATATTATAATTTGAGAGTTGTTACATTCAATATGTGAACTACTAGCCCCACCAGAGCATAGCAATCTGACCCTTGTTTATCCTTAATACATGCACAGAAAACAAACAAACAAACAAACAAACAAACAAAAAAACAACACTAGAAATAACAAAAAAATGGTAAAACATACAAACATACAATGGAAAAGGTGGCCATACTGTAGATACATGTAGAGTTGCCCATAAGTTAGAGTACAAATGAAAAATCTCACTGACATGAACATCAGGACCTAAAATTGCATCCACCTAGTTGAACTACCACGTGAAAACAGCCATCCTCCTTCACTTCCCACACCAAGTGGTGTTTTGCGAGACAGATGTCCTCAGCTGTTTTCGCAGGCTAAGTTGAACTGAACCTGTTGTAAAATATTAGTATTTCCCTGACTCATCAGGTACATAGGTGTACGGGCACCTTTGGACTTGGGGGGCAGACACCTTCTTGCCCAAACAAGTTAAGCAATGCCCGAATGTGTGAGTGTTGAAATTGGGATGTAAACGCACTCAACTTGCGTGAAAAACAAAAACATCCGCAAAGATAGTTATAGTGAAAGCTTGGATACTCAATGACCTCCATGAACAATCTCAATCAAGTAAAATCTAAAACTTATTAAAAGAAAAAGTTCTTCCTTTCATGGCGTTCGTTCAGAAATTGACTGATCAGCAACAGAGACATTTGTGTTTCAAGATGTACCGTTTGGACGACTGTTACAGAAGCTATCCTATATTCGAGACAAGCGTCTCAACAGAACAACAAACAAACAGATGTTCAGAACAACAAACAGATGTTCAAAGAACAACATGAGGCATTGCTAGAAGTCCTTCAAGCCTTCCATGAATTCAGAAGCCATGTCAATATGATGGTAAACAACGTGGACGTACTAGAGAAACACCTCCAAAGAAAAATTCAAGAAAGAAATTAAAACACCCCACGGTTAAGATATTCCAAACAGCTCTATTCAGGGCTTCCACAAAAACAAAAGTCTTGGTCTTTGTTTGCTTTGATTCGTGTCCTTGTTTTGTTGATAGAAAATTGGGAAAGGCAATAATATCCTTATCGTGGATTTCCACGATACAAATTTAAACAACTCGTAGCTAACTAAAAACCTCAGGTCACTTGACGGTCTACAGACTTCCGGCCAGGCGTCTAATCACACACAGAGATTCATAAAAAAGTGGTCACTTTTTTACGAGTTTTGGAAATCACGCTAATAGCATTATTTTGTGATGTTTTCTCTCAAGTGTCGTTGCCCGAATCATGAGCATTTTGTCCGAAAAATTATGTCATTTCCATGGCTTGGGAGGGGAGGAGGGCTGCAGCCCCCCTCNCCCCCCCCCAGCTCGTACGCCTATGATCAGGTAATTTCCATTTTGTCACTTCAGTACAAATACATGTATTCATGATACTCCCAGCTTTACTTACTTTAATATCAACTGAAGCAGCCTCTTTGGAATCATTTTCCTCCTTTGGAGGTGAAGGTTCACTTGGTAATGATGATGACTCAACATTCACAGTACTTTTAGGAGTTACCTCCGACAAAAGACTGCCTTTACTTTGTTTTGAATGTGTCTCTGACACATGAGTTGGTTGACCCTCTTTTGGAACTGTTTCTGGTTCAAGACTTGCCTTACTTCCCTTTGATGGTGTCTCTTCAACAAGACTTGCTTTACTTCCTTTCTGAGGTGTTTCTAAAACAAGGCTTGCCTTGCTCCCTTTAGGAGGAGTCTCTACAGCAAGACTTGCTTTACTTCCTTTCAGACGTGTTTCTGAAATGAGACTTGCCTTACTTCCTTTAGGAGGTGTTGTGGATGAGAGGCTTGCTTTACTCCCTTTTTGTAATGATGAAGAAAGACTAGCTTTGCTCCCTTGCATGCTACTGGCAGGGCTGTATTTAAGACCATCAAAAACAAATTCCTTCCTGGACAATGGCTCTGATCCAGGAATACTTCCACTGTGGCTTGTGTCTTTAGATGCCACGTCAAAGTCATGGGATTCTCTTTTTTTCAACTCGGCAATGGCTGCAGTGTTTATTGTTTCAAGATCAGCTTCTAAGGTATTTTTCAGTTGCTCTTCGAGTTCCCCTTCTTCCAACAACAACTGCAGATCTTGTTGACTCTTGAGCAAGTTAGATAAAGAACATAAATACTTGTAAGCACATTGTATACAATGAACTAGCAAGTTGAATTTTGAAGTAATATTAATATCAAACATGACCAAGAGTGTTTCATCATGTTTCCAAACACTGTGAAGAGAGTTAGAAATATGACACACAGCAGACACAGAATTTTTTGACAAACTTCAAGGTGTTTGGAAATGCAAAGAAACACTGCCTTGAGTGCTTGGTATTTTCTTCTCAATGGAAACTACATGTAAAGCTAAGGAGAAAACAGAGCTCTAAATAAAATCACAAAAATCTGTGCAAGCTTATTAAATTCAGATAGCCAAACAACATCACAGTTATGATTTTCCTTGTTAAACTTGATGAATTGAAAAATAAATCAGTTTGAGAAGTTGAATTTGACCTAACTGATATTTTGTGCATTCTACACCAGACGCTGAACACTCATCTTGCAGGGCTTCAAATGACTAATGACACTCAGAAAATAGTAAAATGAGAAAAAGGATGGACACAGGACAAGAAAAATTAGAACCTCTTGAAAAAATGAGAAGCAGGAGAAACTGGGAAAATATACAAATTATGCAATTTGTTTGATGTTTTTTTTTTTCACAGACACCTCATGCTTGATGTATTTGTTTGTTTGCTTGCTTGATGTACAGAGGAGTAAATGGGAAGCAGGCTAAAAATAGAAACTACATATAGTTGAAGATGCCCTGACTTGCTAATGTACNAAAAAGGTACAAAAGTGACTTATGACATATACATGTATGCATAGGATAAGGAGATGAAACTGATGTCTTCCTGGAAAAAAAAAAATCAGTGAGGATTACTAATTTTCTTTTACATGTAACACAAGGGTCCTACTGAATACAAGACATGTAGAGAGTGTATGTTACATAGCCCAGATGTATGTACAGGAAAATTCATTTTCTTTTTGGCCACCTGCCAGGTTCTACCACTGTCTCATAATTCCACCACCTAGGGTCAGTGCTTTTGTGAGTTACTAATTCACAAGCATGAAATTTGTTGTTAACTTTGGAGGTCACTCTCTGGGAAATTTATGGTAATTCCATTTTGCAATACACCAACATTGTTATTGTCTGTGGTACTGTCCAAGATTTCTTAAGTTTCCAAAGAGCCTCCCAAAAACAAAGAACATGGTCCCTTTATTCTCACAACCACAAAACCACTCACATGCAACACACAACCTTCCTGTTTGTCACTGTGGACATTTTGTGTATGTGACTGTCTAAATACAATTAAATTATTAATAGTCCTTACATGCTTACATGCACATACATATAACTAAGGGCTTGCATTTAGACAAGTTTTAGCATCCCCATTTTGACTACGTATTACACCACATATGCTATAAGCTGTTCAAGAAATTTAAACTGCCCTCCCCCTTAGAATTTCTAAGGACCTGGATCTGGACACAGGATATACGCAAATTGGGCCATGGTCAGGCTTTTAGTCAGATGGGGGTTCAGGTGACCTGTGGATGACCATTTTCTATAGAAAAAATTTTTATATTTCGTCTATATGTTGTCTTATAAATTGCTCATTTGAGCAGGCCCTATAGCATATTTTGAATAGCCCCTTTTCAAATTCAGGCTAAAAGCCTGGACATGGTTGTCGATGATCACCCAGACCTGATGTACTCAATTCAATCTTTCGGTTGGTAAGATCAGTTGCTGTCACTAGTAGTTTCATATCTATACTTTAGGGTTGATTATTTTCAGGATGTTCTTTACTGTTATGGGCATTCTAGTGCTCCAGGTTTCAGGGAACAGTACATGTGCGCGAAGAGAAATGAAATCAAATAATTTGTTTTTGTTGACTTTAAATATGTATAATCAGCATGATGTTGTATAGACATCTTGGAAGTTTTCAAAACTTCAGAAATGTAATTCAACTATTGACTTTGATATAAAGCGTCACGAAACAAGATGAAAAACATTCAGATAATTACGTTCTCCTGGCATTACTAAAATCACAAAACAGCTGTAGACGTGCCCAAAGTAAATTTATTTTCTGGTTCTGCACAGCTGTAAGCTAAAATACAGCAAGCTTATTAAAAGCTTTAAACATTTGAAAAAAAAAGTAGAGAAAAATAAATAAATTCAGACTAGATCGCAGTTATAAAAGTTTCTAAATTACTTTATTTCCCGCATCTGTTTAGAATCTTTCACTACCACACCCAAAACTACTGTTATCACCACTTGACGATGAATCACGCTTCTTGGCGATCGAAGAACAAAGTGTGACAATTTAAGAGACTTTCAAACACAGAAAATTCACTTCAGCTTACCTTCGGAAAAAAGCTGTCTCAGGCAAAACGTTTGTTTCCAAGTTGAAACGTTCTTAAAAAGTTAACAACTACTATAAAACAAACCTCGAGGATACAAACAACAAACGCTTACCGTGACAGATGCAATGCTGTCTCGTGGGTTGAAAGCGGAGGGCTCCTCTGACCCCGAAATTCCGTGGGCCAGCCTTAACACAGGAAACCAAACGGGCTTTCTCGTTGAAAAAGAATCGTCAAGATAGTAGTGTTTTCTTACTTTAGGACCAACCATACGCTGGTCTATGAGCTTATCCTGCTCTTCAGGACTCAGTTTATCCCATTCGCTGCCTTGTTCGGCCATCACTTCGCGCTGTTCGGTGATAATTCTCCGACTTACATGATTCAACGATTCAAAGTACGACAGAACATACTCGTTCATGTCTTCGACATCACTAACGTATTTGTTTTTTGGCTCAAAAGAACACCTCATGGTTTCAATTTTAGATTCACTTGGGGTCTCTTCAGCGCCTGGTTCCTCCATGTCGTCAAAATCTTCGGCAAACGCCTGTTCTATAGCGGCCGTCACTTCCGCTTCTGAAATGATGGCCGCCATGTTTACTTTTTCTGTGGTTTTCATTCACCGAGGAGAAGTCTTTGTTCTAAGAAGGATTGTGATTGGACAAAGTGAAAACACTGACCAATCACAAGGCGGTTATTATCATGGTACTATAAAAACCGCGCTGTTTCCCGATCTCCTCAAACCCAGGTTCTGTTACTAGGAAAACCGCTTCTCTTCCTAAATATCGTCGTGAGTTGTACGGCAAAATGCTGTCGTCCTGCAAAATTATAAGTAGGAGAAAATGAGTGCAGAAAGCGAAGACGCAGCTACGGCTGCTATGGAGAATCGTTCGAAGGCATCAACTACCGTCTACTCAGGCTACAAATGCGCTTTTTTCACATCATTGTTGGTCGCAGCTCTTGCTGTTGTTGTCGATCGCCTTGTGATAACACCAGTTTTGTTTGAGAGAACTCATTATGGCGATATCAGAGACACAAGCTCAATGTATGACGTGGTGGATGAAGAAGTAGTTAGCTTGTTTGTGACCTACGATGAAAACTTGGATAGGTTGCTGGACTTGTCAGAATTTGTTAAAGTTGCCAACAGAATTTTGCATCGAAAAGTAAGTAGTCTTATGTTGTCTCTTTCCTTGACATGAAAATATTTTTTTGCAAGTAATTAAGTTCTCTAACTCCCACCATTGCCTGATAGGGAAGAAGTTTTATCGTCAGCTGCTTCCTGTACTGTAACATGATCGCTTCCACATAAATACTACATTCAAGAGCTTAATTAATCTATTCAGGTTATTCATGCAGGATGTAGTACCTGTTAGAAATGCGTAATTAGTTTAATTAAACTTACATTGTTGTTCACTCTCAGGGGTGAGTGTAGCAGAGCCATCCCCCTCATGAAAAGATAATGCTGACATTTTGTAGTACACTGTAGCCTGTGAATCAGCATTCTCTCTCCCCCCACTTGCCACTAGATCTATTGAAGCAAGAAATAGCTCTCTGAATTCACTTTCTGCACCCCACCAGATCGAGAAGTCAGTCAGAGATATCATATTAGTAACACACCTACCACTTTTTCAGATTAATTAAACAAAATGTCCGTCTTCTGGATACAGATTGAAATCTCCCAGTCTCCAGGACAGGCTGTCAAATCTCTGCAGTGTGTTTCTCTACCACCTGTTTCTAAATTTTTGCAAAATGGACAATTTTCTCATCCCCACACCAGGAAAAAAAAATTTGCTCCAAGTGTCAAAAATACCCGTTAGGAAATGTCAGCCTCAAAGAATTAAATGATCAGGCTGCTATCAGATTGAGAAGGTAACACTTAAATAGCCAGATATGTACACCGAATACATGTATTACTATGATTATTCTTCAAACATGGTACATGTATTTCCGAACAGGTAGGAAAAATACTGAACAGGTGGATTTAACTCATCTGAGGTCCGTTCCAATAGGGTGTTATTATTGACACCATCTCAAACGCTCCTCCCCACAAGTCTGAAAGGCCAAGTTAGTAATTGCTTCTCCATTCTCTCTAATCTACTTGGCTCAGTTAAATCTGTCAGGGGTCAAGTTCCCTGCCTGCATAGTCATGTACCAATGCATGTAGTTAACAGTATCCTTAGTTAAGGCTTCATCTAGCCGGTTCAAGATGTTTGGTTAGTAGCCAGGAGCATGCGAGAAAAAAGAGTGAGAAAAAAAGGTAAGGGGTTCTCTCCCTAACTTCCCCAGATCTGTAATCCCCTCATTGTTGTTCTCACTTTGTTCCCCTTTTGTTCATCCCCACAAACCAAGAGCCTGGAGCAGGCTAGGTTTGGGCAAGATCACAACTCAGAGAATAAGGTCTGTCTAAGGCCCTGTCCACACTGTGCCAGAGAAATTTGAAAATGGTGTTTTCACTCTGAAAATGCATCCAATGTTTTCCATCCACACTGCACTGGAGAAATTTGAAAACTCAACAAATACTATTAACATTCATCTTGGAATGCATTTGAGGAAAACTCAGGAAGGGAAATCACATGATTATTGTGACGCCGTCATTTTTGAAAACCTCCATTTTAAAAGTGTTTTCTGTCCACACTAAAATGGAAAGCTAGCATTTTCAAATTCCTCCAGTTTGAAGAGAGTTTTCAAAAAGCTCTTTTTTCGTGATGGATTAGTGTTAGATCTAAAGGTAGAACTAAAACTGCATTGTCGAATTTCTCCAGCATAGTGTGGACCGAACCTAATAGGCAAGTGGTCTACAGGGGTTTATAGTTAAAAATATCGAAGGTGAGTCAACAGAGGCAAACAATCTTAGTCATATTTTGTAGAATTCAGGGTCTGTTACGTAAATAATTCCAAATTTTGCCTATGCTTTCACAAAACTTACATGTAACCCTTCAAGAGGCATTTGAAACCACCACACAGATAAACAAATGGCTAAAATGAATGGAATTCGATGGTGCATTTTGCAAAAAATTCAAACTTCTAGTTGATGGATTTTCTTCATTTTTTTGCTACACATAGAAAATCGGTAGAGAAAATGATCCATCAAAAGAAAAATAGGGGTCATCGAATGTCCAAGATCATTAAATCCAGGCAAAGCTATAGCAATGGCCAACTTCTGTCCTACCATTGTTCATTTTATTACTTAGTGTGCATGCGCATCAATGCATGACGTGGCGTGTGAATTTGCGTGCACGAACGTCCTTAACATGTAGATCAAACATTGTTAAAAGGCGAACTCAATCAATGACGTTTTTTGTTTGTTTGAACCCAGGCACCTGCAGATGACCATCAGGTTGATGTTAACACTGTTGCATTTGCACCAGATTGGCCAGATACTGGCAATACAGCACAGCTAACCCTTACTTGTCATTTCACTCCCTTGGTTCTCTCCACGATGACGAAGTACTCAGACGATTCACAGAACACTGTCACAGTGAGTATTACATGTATAGTAGTTCCAAGAAATTGTGAATGGGTGTTCTATACTGTTAAGGTGTGGCTTATATATGTCTGACTCAGTATGAATAAAGATTTAAACAGGGGTTTCATCAGTGTTCAATCTAGAAATTAGTCAAAGTGGGTCATCTGTCCCACATGACATTTTAAATTGGGACATTTCAAAAATGGTCTGGGTCAAACTACTGCATATGATATTGAAACTTTGAAAAACTGCCATCATCCAAATTATCACCAGTATATTATTAATACATGTAGTTTTTATGCTTTTCACAGTTTTGATTCATTTATTGCAGTAAACAGTCAAGTAATCGTAGGCTGAACACTGTTTCATTAACATTTTCAGTGGAAAAGCAACTGGTTTCACTGGCGGGCCAACCTTTTTGAACTCATTCAACTTCCTTACAACAAAACCTTTCGTCTGGGTTGTTAAAGCAGGCAGGCAAAATCATCCTCAAAGCCCTTGTTTAAGATTCCAATATTCATTTCAAGGTCAAATCAAATTGATCCTGACCATAAGTTTTTAATAAGTGATTTAGTGGCCATTACTGGTGAGCTTTTTGATCAAGACCTCATTTTAAAGGGTTCTGCACAAATGTACCCTGTTTTAAACAAGGATTATATTTTCTTGCATGGTGTCATGAATTATATACATTTTTGCTATATGTAAATATTAATAGCTTCAATAGGAGAGTGTGCAGAGGCAAGTTGGAAGTTGGAATCATATATTGAACATTCTTTCAGGGTAATGAACACCAATTGCAAGGGCTGAAGTCCTGGACAAATTGCATTGTTCCCATGGCAACATATCCTGTTACTGCATTTGCAGCATTTTTGCCTTACCCAGTCCTTAAGCCATCATTGGGCCAACCATGGTACATTGTTGAATCTATGATTGAGAAAAATGGTATGCACTAAGAATGATATACTCAAAAATTAATGTTTTAGACCGATATTGATGGAGTCAACTGCCCAGAGTGTCAGTTAGTGGTTATCTCTGACTCAGGGTACAACCCTTTAGAAGCTGTAGGTCACTATCTTTTCAAGTCAAACTAATTTCACTTTTTTATCACTACTTCTAGCCACAATATGCTCCAACAGAAATCCCCAAAAGCCTTAAGTGGCAATGTCAGAGCAATTAATCAGGTCGAAGGTGTAACCTGTAGTATTCTGCCTGGATGGTTCAGATTTAATGCGCATTCGTCAAGGGGCAATATACTACATCACCATAAGGCCAACATGCCCTCCTCATAGGCACAGGATCCCTACGTAGCTGAAAGCCATTTCTTCTTCATAACAAGTGTGTAAATGATAATTTATCATCACTGTGATGCAGTGAATTATCTGATGCAACCCTCTTAGATTATCTATTTTGGAACTTCCCCATCATCTGTTTGTTAAGTTATTACAAATTACATTTTAGGTCCAGGTTTGACCAGTAACCGGTACTACCCTACCCCTGTCAAAGGAAGACTGGCCATTCTTTATCAACTCCTCACCATATTTCATCCACGACCATTTCTTCTGACAAGATTTCCTCCACAAGGAACAATTGCTTGTGTTCGGGCAGAGAACCAGGATTATTTGGACATAGTTTTCAGGTTTACATAACTTTGTCTCTTATTTAATTATTATTGCTCCATGCATGTTCTGGTAGAACATTAGCTCGGGTTAAGTACAGATAGGTCTTTATGCAACATTCTGAGCACGCTTTGTTCCCATGGTAATAGACAAATTATTGCATGTTTGTTTTGATTGTAAAAGAGTTGTACTAAGCCTAAGGTCCAATGTACTTATAATAATAATTATGAATTTGTTGTGCGCAAATTCCATATGGATATGTTCAAATGCGCATTACAATTAAAATACATAAAAAATGAATGTTACACGCTAAAAGTGAAAATTACAGCTTAAAAACTAAAATTCTAAACAGCTAAGTTATAGGTTAAAATTACGAGAAGAAAGAAAATTAATTTCATAGTGCAATTTCATTCGTAGAAAGAAATTGGACCTGTATTAAATGAGGTGTCTTGATTACTTTGTAATAAATTATATAGGTACATGCAGTTGTAAATTAAGCTTACAACAGCTGCTCAGATGATGAAAGCCTTCAAGTTCGTTTCAGTCTTAGTCTTAACTAATTTGATCTTATTTTTATCCAAATGGCCCATTGGTATTGACACATAAATAATGTGCATGTACTTTAAGTTACTAACAGTGGTACACAAGAATTAGTTAGGTGTACAACTAGCCACTCCCACTAGAAAGGGTGACAGCCAATTGCAGGTCATTACCATTAACATATTAAATAAGGTGGCATTTTCTCTCATCAGGGTGCATGCAGAATTTCAGTTAAATGAACCTCCTTTGTTGCCGTTTTGGTTCACGCCTGGACAGTTCTTGGGAAATATTGTGATCAGGAGAGATGGCAGTCATATACAATCTTTCCATCTGGCTGTGCCAACTAACAGAAGTCTAAACGTGGGTGAGTAATTACATGTATAATCATACAGAAAGTCTGAAATTTTTATCTTGCTAGATATACAATGTAGGTGACTGATTTCCCACAACAAAAAAATTAACATGCAAAAAATGCTGTGAATTCAATGCAACCACACTGATTTCGGCCAAAAAATTATGGCCGTAAACATTGTCATAAAGAGAAATATTACTCACAGTTATATATAGTGATTGTATTGATCATGGGGTGGTGATAACTGATTCCACCACGGTCATTTCAACCACTGGTACAGCTGGCATATTATGCATTAGTATCACCCAACTAGTGGGCTAATGCAAATC